GGGAGCTCAAGCTGCTGCTGCTCGGTGAGTGGGGCCGGGCCTGCCGGGGTCCGCGGCCGACAGTGCGCGTGCTGCCGGGCGGGGCTGACACTGCCAATGCTGACCACCCGGGGGCAGGGGCCTCGGGGTCAACCCCTGCCGGTGCTGTCTATGGCGGGGACCTGGCACTTCGGAGTCAGCCCTTGCCAGCGCTGTCCACGCGGGCGGTCTGGGGCCTTGGGCTCAGCCCTTGCCTGTTCAGCCCACGGTGGGGGCTTGGGCCTCAGAGTTAGTGCCCGTGTTGTCCACAGCGGCGTCCGCTGTCCGCGGACTTGGGGTCAGTCTCTGCCTTTGTTGTGCATGGCGTGGACTCTGGTTTTCGGAGACTGTCCCCGCCTGTGCTGTTCACTGTGGGGTCAGCTTCTGCCTGTGCTGCCCACATGAGGTCCCAGGTTTCTTCAGAGCCAGCCCCTGTCCCTGTTGCCCATTTCAGTTTCTGAAACCCTAGGAGTAAACCTCTGCTTTTGCTGTCTACATCTGTATCGCGGTTCCTCCGGTCAGCCTGTGCTGTCCATGGGAGGTCCCTAATCCCTGCTGGGTTAGCCCTATCTTTTTTGTCCAGGTCGGGACCCCAGAACCCTGGAAGGTCTGTCCTCTGCCCCTTCTCATGAGATGAGACCCCTCCCTGCATAGGGCTGGTCCTCTGTTTCTGTCCCACGGAGCGACCCCCCTTGCTGCCCCCAGCATCTGTTTAGGCCCAGACCTTTGGGCTATAATCCACAGATGCGCCCCTCACCTCCCAGAATCCCATCTCAGACTCTTCCCACCAGGTGGAGCCCTGTTCCCTACACTCAGGGCCTGTTTCCCCCCGCCCCCCCCTTCCCTCAAGCCATTGCTGTGCCTCCCGGCCCCCTGAGGGAAAACTATTTCCCTCCGGAAAGGGGTACACACCGTGGGGGAAAAGACAGCCTTTCTTCTCTTCTGGAGGTTTCTGTTTTGGCTGGAGGCTGAGGGGCAGGTGGAGCCCTGAAGGAGCCTTTGCAGGCTTTCAGAACTGACCCAGCTAACTCATCAACCTTCCCCAAGTCTTTTCTTTCTGCCTTGGTGGGAGCCGGTTCTTCTGGGTCCTCCTCCTCCTCAGGGGAAGATTCCTCTTCCAGTTCCTGTCTCCTCAGGGCACACCTGTTGCAGGGAGTGAGTTGCCCCAGCTGTCAGCAAAGTGTTGTCACCCCAAATAAGGGCTGTTGAAGGACTTACCTCTGCGGTCAAAGGCAAGAAGGTCATTTACAAAACAGAAACCTGGGCCCTGCCCTTTATGAGCCCTGCTTCATTTTCATTCCTGGACTGCAGGGAAAGTTGGAAATGCTTGCAAGCTGCTTAGAGGTAGCTTTGATGAGCCCTGGGGGGAGGAGAAGCAGGGAGATTTTAGAGGTGGTGTGGAACTCCTGATGGGGGATAGTGGCCTTGGTGGCCCTTTGGGAGGTGGCCGGTCTGGCCTGGAATGCACTGCTTCTCCCTGTAGGGTCCTCCCTTTTATGAAATACCTTCTCTATTTTTCTTTCCAGATATATATTCTGATTTATCTAAAGACTATGAAAGAGGCTGTCTCTGCAGAAAAGACAGGCAGAGAGTAACCTTAAAGTTTGGAGGAAACTGGCAATGATATTCGAGTGGCACTAGGGAGGACTTTGTGGTAGGAGGCTTTTGCAGTAGGCAGTAGAGTTTATCTTGGGAGGGGCTTAGAAATTAGAAGTCTCTCAATGTTATCAACCAGCCTTGATTGGGGGCTGTGTGAGCCTCCAGGCGTCCCTGCAGCCTGTCCAGTCTTCAGATTGATGTGGGGGTCAAGGCTACAAGTCAGTGGCCTGTGCTTCTGCAGCCTTGGTGTGCCTCTGCATTCTCCCTGGGCTGGGAGGCCCCCCAGGAGCCCTGCAGCAGATCTGGAATTGGCCAATGTCCTCCTGAAGACGAGGGGAGTCAGCTGCAGGGGTGCCTGTGTCTGTAGTCACACCCCCTCCCCTCCTGTGTGACCCTAGAGGGCACCCAGCCCTCATGATGGATGGATGGGTGGATCAGGCACCTGTCTCTTGATGTTACATCCTAGGCCGGGGGGTCAGATAAAACTGAGAGGGCAACATGAGCTCACAAGTTCAAGGTGAAGGTTTCTGACAGGAGGATAACCATTAGTGCCGGGCGGAGACCCAGGCGATGTGCAGGGGTGGGGGCTGACCCTGAGGCACTCCTTACCCAGTGATCCTGCAGGCTTTGGGACTGGGACCTCTTTGGGAACCCTGGGAACACTTACTACCAGGCAGCCTGTCCTCCCAGATTAACCTCCCAGATTAGCCTCTTGCTGGGAGGACTTTGATGACCAAAGGACAGGGTGGGGTGTGAGGATGCAGGTAGGGCATCCTTACTGAGTACCCTCTGCCTGGTGCCCAACCTGCTTCTAGGATTCATTCCAGCCCCCCACTGCCAGCAAGCCAGCCACTAGCTGGGGGCTGTCCCCATTTTGTAGGGAGAAAGTTGAGGGGCATATTGAGCTTTCCAGCTACAGTTTGGGCCTTCCACCCCTCAGCAGCTCAGAGTGGAGTGCCAGCTTCCACACCCCTGTGACATCCCTGTGTGTGGGGGGGTCTTGTTTCTGTGATGTTCTGGTGGTGTCTGCTTTGGTACCTGGGTTTGGAACCAGGTAGAGCCAGTTACTGTCCCTGGAGGAGCCCTTGCTCACTTCACCATGTGTCTGCCATCTCCCTGGGCCTGTATGCATGTGACCTGTGGGACCTCTCAGACTGGTGGGGGTTTTAATGTCCCATCCTAGTGCAAGAATGACCATCCTGTGGAGCTCCTGGAGCTGGACTCTGACCCTCTGACTTGGAGAACCTCATGGGCTCTGTCCCCAGTGCTTCCGCCATGGCTTCTTTTTAAAATTGACTTTTAGCTCCTCAAGGAGGCATCTCTTTTCCATATATCAGGGTCTCCCCCATCAGCACTGGGGACATTGGGGCCAAGTCAGTCTCTGTAGGGGCCGTCCTGGACACTGGGGAATTGAGCAGTATCCCTGGCCCCACCCACTTGATGATGCTGGAGCACCCCCAGTCTGACAACCACAGATATCCCCAGACATGGCCTGGTGTGCCTTGGGGCAGGACTACCTCTGTTTGAGAGCCCCTGCCCCATGCTAGTACACAGTATTAAAATGCATGTTGCAGAGCTGGTGTATTATCAGTGTGTAAATAATTTTGTCACATGTTTTATGAGTGGTTAAAAAGTACATATTTTTGTTTGTAGGGTCCAAAGCTCTGTGTGTTCATGTATGTATGCACTCAACACACAGTGTACATGTGAACGCATGGATACAGGCCTTCAGTGTATAGCTCTGGAGTTCTAGGCTGTGTCCTTGTTAATGTTCTGTCTGTAGTTGGGAGCAGGATGGCGAATATGTCTGTGCTGCAAGTCCTGACAGAATGTATCACTCTCCTATCCTGTGGACCAGAACCCTGAGACCTAGTCAGAGCTCTGGGGCGGAGACTCCAGGCAGGCCCGCTGTTCTAGCACAGCCCTTTGCCATGGCGTTTCTGTCATTTGGTAGAAAACCACCAAGGGGGTGGGTCCCTTATGTGTTCCTCAGGCAGATGTCCCATTTGAAATTCAAGGCCTTCCATGGGAGCCCCTTTTCAGAGGCCTAGCCACCAGGCCAGGCTGAGCCCAGTGGCTCCAGGGATTTCTAAATAAAGCAGGGCGGTCAGTTCCGCAGGCTTCCTGTTGGCCAGCTCTGGGCCCCACAGGGCGGTGAAAAGGCTCAGACTCTGGTGTGGGGTGTGGTGGCTCCGGCGGGAAGGGCGCGCCTCCCAGTGCTTTGAGGCGCAGAGTGGAGTGTGGCCACTGGCTCCTGGCAGAGAGGCCTGGCCAGGTCCCCTGTAGATCTAGGAGCTGAAAGCGCCCCTGGGTGGCCTCTTTGTCCGTCCCTCGATTCCCCTGGGGCTGTGGAAGGACCTTTACCCACCCCAGGAGTCTTAATGTGCTTTAAATTAAAATTATATGTTTTTGGCTAAAAGGGTCTGCTTTCCTGGGTGCAATCCCTGGAAGTGCCTCAGGAGCTCAGACTGCCCTTGGATGCCGCTGTCCCTCTGTTTCCCTGCGAGTCACAGAATGACTCCCAGTGCCTGGGCGAGGCTCTGTCCCCTTCCCATGGGGCCTGCAGGGCTGAACCCCTAGAACGACTCCCCACAAAGGGCAATTAGTGTTGCAGGCCCTTGGAGCATGGCCTCACCAGGTGTATTACCAGGTTCTGGGGTCAGGGCTGGCACTGAACTCCGTTTGCACAGACAACCGTGCTTCCGGGCTCGGCTCTGTATGTGCCTAGCTGTGCCGGTCACTGCGGTGAGACTGGAGGAAGTGCTCAGCCTCAGACAGTTAACCACAGAAGGTTTCACTTTCTGCTTCTTGTGGTGGAGTCCTCCTAGGTGCAGTCCCACAGCACGTTGCAGTCACTGCTGCCTGTGGCCCTGGGCATTTGGAGTGGTGTGCAGGAAACCAGATGTAGCTTAGATGAGGATCCCTGGCAGAGGGATGCTTTTGTCTTTTTTCTGTCCAGGCCCTGGGTGGGTGCGTCTGATCTGGAACTCTGGGTCATGTGAGGTGGACAGAGCTGGAGAGCAGTGGGGAGGAGTGGTCCCATCTCTGGTCCCCCAAAGGGTGCTCCTTTCCCAGCTCTCAGCTTTGTCCTGTTCAATGGGCACAGTCAGCCTTGATGGCCTGCTCCCTGGTGTCCGTGAGCAACGGATGGGATTCAGGGCATCTCCATGGGCTTTGGGAACACCCATGTGCAGGGTTATTTTTTGGTGGAACCCAGGCTGCTCATAGAACCAGGATTCCAGACCTCAGGTGGCTGGCTTATGGGAGGGGTGTTCATAGTTCTCGTGCCCCTAGCCCTGTCAACTCCCTGTGCCTCTTGGCCTTAGGGTACCTGGTCAGTTGTGTGCATGTTACCCTGCCAGAGTGACTCCTCATTCCCCCCATCGCACCCCACCTCCAGCTCCTGA